GCAGTCGGCCACCAGGTTTGCACACATCTCAGGAGGGCATTTTGTCCCACTCCTCTTTGCAGATCTTCTCCAAGTCATTAATGTTTCGAGGCTGACGTTTGGCAACTCGAACCTTCAGCTCCCTCTACAGATTTTCTATGGGATTAAGGTCTGAAGACTGGCTAGGCCACTACAGGACCTTAATGTGCTTCTTCTTGAGCCACTCCTTTGTTGCCTTGGCCGTGTGTTTTGGGTTATTGTCATGCTGGGATACCCATCCACGACCCATTTTCAATGGCCTGGCTGAGGGAAGGAGGTTCTCACCAAAGATTTTACGGTACATGGCCCCTTCCATCGTCCCTTTGATGCGGTTAAGTTGTCCTGTCCCCTTCGAAGAAAAACACCCCCAAAGCATATTGTTTCCACCTCCATGTTTGACGGTGGGGATGGTGTTCTTGGGGTCAAAGGCAGCATTCCTCCTCCTCCAAACACGGCGAGTTGAGTTGATGCTAAAGAGCTCCATTTTGGTCTTATCTGACCACAACACTTTCACCCAGTTGTCCTATGAATCATTCAGATGTTCATTGGCAAACTTCAGACGGCCATGTATATGTGCTTTCTTGAGCAGGGGGACCTTGCGGGCGCTGCAGGATTTCAGTCCTTCACGGCGTAGTGTGTTACCAATTGTTTTCTTGGGGACTATGGTCCCAGCTGCCTTGAGATCATTGACAAGATCCTCCCGTGTAGTTCTGGGCTGATTCCTCACCGTTCTCATGATCATTGCAACTCCACGAGGTGATATCTTGCATTGAGCCCCAGGCCGAGGGAGATTGACAGTTATTTTGTGTTTCTTCCATTTGCGAATAATCGCACCAACTGTTGTCACCTTCTCACCAAACTGCTTGGCAATGGTCTTGTAGCCCATTCCAGCCTTGTGTAAGTCTACAATCTTGTCCCTGACATTCTTGGAGAGCTCTTTGGTCTTGGCCATGGTGGAGAGTTTGGAATCTGATTCATTGCTTCTGTGGACAGGTGTCTTTTATACAGGTAACAAGCTGAGATTAGGAGCACTCCCTTTAAGAGTGTGCTCCTAATCTCAGCTCGCTACCTGTATAAAAGACACCTGGGAGCTAGAAATCTTTCCGATTGAGAGGAGGTCAAATACTTATTTCCCTCATTATAATGCAAATCAATTTATAACATTTTTGAAATGCGTTTTTCTAGATTTTTTTGTTGTTATTCTGTTTCTCACTGTTCAAATAAACCTACCATTAAAATTATAGACTGATCATTTCTTTATCAGTGGGCAAACGTACAAAATCAGCAGGGGATCAAATACTTTTTTCCCTCACTGTATCTCGTGTTTTGGAGCTTGGGTTGGTGGTTCATCGTGTACATAACACATCCAGCTGTAAGGCGAAGGAGCATGCTACACAGCAGGAGAGATCAGTGGGTTGCTGACGTATCTGTACGGGATTTGTAAGCATCATTTATTGATATGTGTGGGTTTCCTACAGCTAGCCTTGGTTTTCCCTTCGCGCTCAAATTACTCGGCAAATTGGTTACACATCCCAAGCGAGACTGCCACGATAATGAATCGCAAGGTTCAGTTTGAAGGCCTCCAAGGATAAAGCTTCTATCACAATTAGACTTACGCTTCGTCGCATTTAATTGCACATCAAGATGATGTAGAGTAACTCAATGCCCTGGTAATATTTTCTGGATGAAGAAAAACAATACACTCGCTTTAGTCAATATAATGGGAGAAAGCAGTACTATCCTTACGCTTTGATCCAAGCACCCAAGCTTTGCTTGTGCCCTAGCAGAAGCCAATTATAGTCCACCTGACAGCGCATGCCCGTGCGGCTTAAGTGATTTAATAAAACGAATAATGAAAGCTTTTAAATTCACGCCGGGCAAGCCAGATGTTTTCGTTGTAATTACGGTTCCGTAATTAACAATCTTTACGTCCATGCAACTACAGTGAGGGAAAAAAGTATTTTATCCCCTGCTAATTTTGTACGTTTGCCCACTGACAAAGAAATGATCAGTCTATAATTTTAATGGTAGGTTTATTTGAATAGTGAGAGACAGAATAACAACAACAAAATCCAGAAAAACGCATGTCAAAAATGTTATAAATTGATTTGCATTTTAATGAGGGAAATAAGTATTTGACCCCTCTGCAAAACATGACTTAGTACTTGGTGGCAAAACCCTTGTTGGCAATCACAGAGGTCAGACGTTTCTTGTAGTTGGCCACCAGGTTTGCACACATTTCAGGAGGGATTTTGTCCCACTCCTCTTTGCAGATCTTCTCCAAGTCATTAAGGTTTCGAGGCTGACGTTTGGCAACTCGAACCTTCAGCTCCCTCCACAGATTTTCTATGGGATTAAGGTCTGGAGACTGGCTAGGCCACTCCAGGACCTTAATGTGCTTCTTCTTGAGCCACTCCTTTGTTGCCTTGGCCGTGTGTTTTGGGTCATTGTCATGCTGGAATACCTATTCACGACCCATTTTCAATGCCCTGGCTGAGGAAAGGAGGTTCTCACCCAATATTTGACGGTACATGGCCCCGTCCATCGTCCCTTTGATGCGGTGAAGTTGTCGTGTCCCCTTAGCAGAAAAATACCCCCAAAGCATAATGTTTCCACCTCCATGTTTGACGGTGGGGATGGTGTTCTTGGGGTCATAGGCAGAATTTCTCCTCCTCCAAACACGGCGAGTTGAGTTGATGCCAAAGATCTCCATTTTGGTCTTATCTGACCACAACACTTTCACCCAGTTGTCCTCTGAATCATTCAGATGTTCGATGGCAAACTTCAGAGGGCATGTATAAGTGCTTTCTTGAGCAGGGGGACCTTGTGGGCACTGCAGGATTTCAGTCCTTCACGGCGTAGTGTGTTACCAATTGTTTTCTTGGTGACTATGGTCCCAGCTGCCTTGAGATCATTGACAAGATCCTCTCGTGTAGTTCTGGGCTGATTCCTCACCGTTCTCATGATCATTGCAACTCCACGAGGTGAGATCTTGCATGGAGCCCCAGGCCGAGGGAGATTTACAGTTATTTTGTGTTTCTTCCATTTGCGAATAATCGCACCAACTGTTGTCACTTTCTCACCAAGCTGCTTGGCAATGGTCTTATAGCCCATTCCAGCCTTGTGTAGGTCTACAATCTTGTCCCTGACATCCTTGGAGAGCTCTTTGTTCTTGGCCATGGTGGACAGTTTGGAATCTGATTGATTGCTTCTGTGGACAGATGTCTTTTATACAGGTAACAAGCTGAGATTAGGAGCACTGCCTTTAAGAGTGTGCTCCTAATCTCAGCTCATTACCTGTATAAAAGACACCTGGGAGCCAGAAATCTTTCTGATTGAGAGGGGGTCAAATACTTATTTCCCTCATTAAAATGCAAATCAATTTATAACATTTTTGACATGCGTTTTTCTGGATTATTTTGTTGTTATTCTGTCTCTCACTGTTCAAATAAAACTACGATTAAAATTATAGACTGATCATTTCTCTCTCAGTGGTCAAACGTACAAAATCAGCAGGGGATTAAATACTTTTTTCCCTCACTGTACATCTTCCTTTGATCTAATAGCACAGTTGGGGTGAAGGCTGTGTATGTGCAAAGTGTGTTGCGCGCGTGCATGTGAACGGTTAGCGCACTGTGCTATTAACCCGGTGACTCGATTTACGCTCACGGCCAAAAAGTGACGATCATTTGAACCGGTCCTGGGCGTCACCTAGGTCGAGTCAGCCTCAAATGAGTACTTGGTGTGGTGTGTAAACATCGCCATGGGGAGACAAAGGTGGCCGGGAGCGATGTTGGCCACCCACCCACTCGTTTATCCGTGCCGGCCTTTATAGGTGCTCGCTAACAGCCCTACAGTCTATTAAGGCTACACGGGGGATCTTTGTCTTTGCTTAAGAAACAAGTTTAACATATGTATATACACCACTGCTGGTGGAAGGTTCCTCAACTGGAGGGGAGATCATAGAGAAATCACATGGTTGATGTTTCTGAGGCTGGTATGCACAATGGTTGCTCCCTGTCTAGGTTTGACCCACAGTCTGGGAATTGGCACGCGTGTAGTTGGGGAATCTACCGAGATCTGGTACTGGTGTTGTGCTGCATGCAAGTGTAATGGCAGGGTGACACCTGCCGCCCTGTAAGGGTAATTACGGTTATAGCTGTATTACATAACGCCTTATTATGAAGGGGCGTATCTGGGGTTAAGGTCAAGGGCGGAGTCAGTCGAGAACCTCCGGGAACCAACCCGAAGCTTCTGGAAAGGGGGCGTGGCCTGAGGTGTTGCTTGGCCGCCTCTGGTTCGGGGCGGTTAGTGTGGGATCTGGGTCCTGGTTGCGTCGCTGCTGCCGTCACCCCTTCGTCTTCGACCACGTGGCTGTACTGCTGCAAGACCAGCTCCATCGACGCCGCTACGCTTGTCAACCAGCCAGCATAGCGCAGGAACGGAGATGGGCTGCGTGTTTGGACAGCCTGGGTGTAGCAGTGTTACGAAGTGTATCGCCCTGTGTGCTCTTAATAAATAAGAAGCCTTCTACTAGACGTCTGTCAGAAGTCGCTCACTCCACATGTATGTTAAACTTCTTTCGCACCATGCGTAGCCAACCGTGCTAATCAGAGGTGTGGTGGAAGGACAACAAACTAAACACAAAAGCAGTTATCAAGAAATTATTTTTCAATCTAGATGATTTAACAGTGCATAGCTGTGTTCAACTTTATGACATTGTGAGACAGTTTCGATAGGTCGAGTGCTGACTGACGAACACGTCTGGGCTCAGTCAGTCTTAACGGTGGCATCCCTAGCAGACGATGCTCTTGTACCTCGCTCTGGCCGATAAAGTGCAACACTCATCAAGTGCTCGCTTTGAGTTCGCTTCGCCGCCGAGTTAATGCCTCGCCAGTTGCAACACTGAACCCCCCCCCCCCCCAAAAAAAAAAAACGCGACATTACAAAAGGACGACTCTTGCCCCGTGGGCGCGGTGCAGGTGTTCAACCTCATTCGGGACCTCGACCCGGAGGTGACTCTCGTCAGCAAGCACTACTTCAACGTCATCCAGCTGTGCTGCCACTGGGTCGCCATGAGCTCCACGTGCTGGAACCCGTTCATCTACGCGTCGCTGCACCACAAGTTCGCGCGTGCCGTCCGCAACCGCTGCTGGGGCGGCCTCTGCCTGGCACGCCCCCAGAGTGCCGCGCTGGCGCGGGCCGCCGCGGCCTGCCGCGGCGGCGGCGGCGGCGGCCGCTCGACTTCGCGCAGCCCCGTGGGCACGAGCTCGCTGTCCAGTAAGTCGTCGCGCTTCCACGCGCCGCAGCCAAGCCACGGCGTCGTCTACAGCCTGTCGGTGGGCTCGTCGTGCGCTGCGGCGAGACTGGCCGCGGCCTCGGCCTCGGCGGCCGCCGTGCTCGAAGACAGCCCCGGGAGCGGCGGCGGGCGGGCTGAGGCCCCCCGAGAGTGGCGGCCACGTGGGGCGGACGAGCTGCCCGAATTCACCCCGCCCGGACCAGGGCCAGCACGCGAACTTCAATCCCCATCGCTCTGCGGGGATAAGTTCCCGTGAGGTCTCGGGCAGGCTGCGTCAGGGATGTCCGATGGGTCGTTGTTTTGTTGTTTGCTGTTGTCACCATCACGACCGTCGAGATCACTATTATTATTAATATTATCACCATCATCTTTTTTGTGATCATTGACTTCAAAATATTGTCATCATATGAACATTATCGTCGTGATTATTACATTCGTCAGTACAGTATTATGATTGTCATGTTAACACTATAACCGTTTTCAATACTTTATTATCTTTTTTATAATCAGTCAAGATTATATTGCAATAAGCATGTTCAATAACATGTTAGCATCATTCATATCTCATTACAAGTTAAAAATACATCTCTGAATGTACCAGTCTTGTGATTTTGAAGAGTATGCATTTACTAACGTTTAGTATGTTAAGTACACGTGAACTCTCATTTGACATAAATGTGCACATTTCAAATCGCATTGCCGTGTTCACTATATACACGGTGTATCCGTTAGGCATTTAATGTTTCACCCTCCGAGTGACTCGACGAATTGTCACAATTCAGGTCATTATAATATTTTGGCTCATTTGTTACCCTCGTTTTCACATAATATCTCGGCCTGTCTTGTTCCGTTAGCCTGAAGGTCACATTCTTTTGAATTGTAAACAGTCGCGTATGCTCTCGCCGACCAATGCTGTTCATGAGAAAAAATGTTTGGCTTGGATGTGTGTCGTACAACCACCTCCATCCGACAGACAATTTGTAAGGTTTATCACGTGGACAATCAATGGCGGAGCCAGGATTTTCAGGTAGGGGCGGCAACCCCTCCAGCAATGACAAATGATAGAGGAGTTGTTAGTAAGTAAGGACTTGTCCCTTGCTTTTTATTCGACGCGTGTGCGGCGATGGCACAGCCATCGATCGAGGGTCGAATTTGAACCGCGTTGTGTGATCGGCATCGCGCTCGCTGAAGGTGTTGATGCCTTCAGGGAAGTCGTGTCCTGTATACGCAACTGCGCACAATTCTGTGAGTCACTTATAACTGCTTTGCCGTTACTTATTACCAATTATGGACTCAGAATATTGTCCTATCATCTCACAGAGTCCCTGGCACGTAATAATATGCTACACAAGTGGCAGTGGGGGTCGCAAAATGCCGATTCATCTATCTATATATAAGAGTCAAAAATTGCGTGTGGGTTTGGGGCGGGGTTTGTGTGTGGGTTTGTGTGCTCGTGCGCTTGGCTTTCCAACGGTGGGGCTTGCGTATAAAAAAAAAATAGCCAGGTACCATGCCCCGCGGTGAGCAAGCGCTATTCCTTTTTCACATCCGTCAACTTTAAATGAGTTGAATTAGCGATTTAGTGCGATGTTTGTGAGCTTCCCTTTAATTTATTTATTTATGACGCATGCACGGCCATACCAACTCACGCACATTTGGTGGGGGGGACGGCCCATGCCAAGTCGCACCCCTTCGGTGGGAGTGAGGGGGATATTTTCTTTCGCGTTAAAAATGCTTTCAAAATACACTAAACGCTGACGTTTATTCTTCAGTGTGTGTGATGTTCCCCCCACCCCGATATGTGCAGTTATTACTACTATACAGACGCTAGATGCTACCACTATAGGCCGCAGATATTACTGCAGAGCGGCCGGGGAGATCGTGGCTGGGGGGGGGGGGGGGGTCAGGGGGGTAGCAACCCAGCCCCAGCCTGCCAAGGTGCCATCTCGGCCGGCTGGACAATCTAGGCAAGGCCGGAGGCTCAGCATGGGACTAGGCCTCACCACGCCACTCTGTCAGGTGAGCACTTTGTGCTATAGAGTCGATAAATACTGCTATTAGAGTCAGCATGTACTACTGTAGTGATAGCAGGTACCACCACAGTCGGTATGCACTGCTGTTAGATTTTTAAGAGTAGGTTTGAAATATAAATTTGACCCGGTCAACGCCGGGTACTTCCCGCTGGTTACTAATAAACCCCAATGATCTGATCGAAATGAGGGATTTCGATCGGATCATTGGGGGGGCACGTGCCACCCCACCCTCCACTGGCTACTCCAGTGTGCACAATACGTACCATTTTGTTACTACTTCAGCACACCGGTTGTGTGTATTGGAGAGCAAACCCACAATTGAGTACTCAACTTCAATTTACAGTTGACGATTGAGTGCGTGGCAGATTTAATGCATATATCGTATGCGTAAGAATCGATTTTAATCGATGGGCTGAGGAATCGTCAAGCTCGGGGTAGATCTTTTCCATCCATGTGCGCAACAAACTATGACATGCTCTGCATGTGCTGAGAGAACACAGTTTGTGATTAATATTGACAACCGGACTGTGAGACACACTAGCCAATTTAATTAATATGTGAAATTAAAAGTAATTACGGCGGTTGTTTGATGGTCGATTTTGATGGAAATATTGAGAGGATAGTGATATTAGCAGACATTGGAGATATCACGGCTACTCTTAAATGTGAACAACATTAAAAAAAATTATACGATTAATCAACACGAATGAGTGGCAATTCCATGCCAACTGTGCGCACTTCAGCATGAATTTAGGAATTCTGCCAATTGTTACCCATCTGGTCACCAAATAAAGAAAAGCGATTGAGCTGCAACGCTTTAGTTAGTGGAGCACTCTGCTGTAAGCTACCATCTGGATTGATGATGCATTTATCAGGAGGAGGTTCGTTTGTTTATGTCTCAATCCGCTTGTCCTGGTGAGGGTCACGGCAGCAGCGCGTTGAGAAGGGCGGTCTGGACCTCCCTTCCCCTGGCGACAGACTCTAGCTCCATATTACGATACACTACTACACTATACACTGCTATACACTGCACTACTATACACTACACCACTATACACTACACTATACACTACACATACACTACACTACTATATACAGACTCCAGCTCTTGCTGGGGAATTCCCAAGCGTTCCCAGGCCAGCCTAGCGACATCGTCCCACCGCCAGCGTGCCGTGGGCCGGCCCCGGGATCTTCGGGAGAGCCTCAGAGTCTACCCGAGGGGCATTCCTACCAGGTGCCCGAATCACCTCAACTGGCTCCTCTCGATTCGCAGGAGCATCGGTTCGACTCTGAGGCTCTCCCGGTTTCCCGAGCTCCTTGCCCAACCACAGAGGACCCTCAGTTTGGTTCCTTGTACCTCATCCTTTCGGTCATTACCCAAAGCTCATGCCCATAGGTGAGGGTGGGAACGTAGATGGAGCTGTAAACGGCGAGCTTTGTTCGAGAGCTCAGCTCCCGCTTCACTCCCACGGAACGTCACAGCGCCCGCAACACCGCGGACGCCGCACCGATCCGCTGGCCGATCTCCCGCTCCCACTGACCGTCACTCGCGAAAGAGACCCCGAGGTACTTAAACTCCTCCACTCAGGGCAGCTTTTCCCCCAATACAATAAGGTGACTATTACAGAGAACACAATAGGGTGACTATTACAGAGAACACCATAGGGTGACTATTACAGAGAACACCATAGGGTGACTATGACAGAGAACACAATAGGGTGACTATTACAGAGAACACAATAGTGAGACTATTACAGAGAATGCAATAGGGTGACTATTACAGAGAACACCATAGGGTGACTTATAGAGAACACAATAGGGTGACTTACAGAGAACACAATAGGGTGACTATTACAGAGAACACCATAGGGTGACTATTACAGAGAACACCATAGGGTGACTATTATAGAGAACACAATAGGGTGACTTACAGAGAACACAATAGGGTGACTATTACAGAGAACACAATAGGGTGACTATTACAGAGAACACAATAGGGTGACTTACAGAGAATGCAATAGGGTGACTATTACAGAGAACACCATAGGGTGACTATTACAGAGAACACAATAGGGTGACTTACAGAGAACACAATAGGGTGACTATTAAAGAGAACACCATAGGGTGACTTACAGAGAACACCATAGGGTGACTATTCAGAGAACACAATAGGGTGACTATTACAGAGAACACCATAGGGTGACTATTACAGAGAACACAATAGGGTGACTATGACAGAACACAATAGGGTGACTATTAAAGAGAACACCATAGGGTGACTATTACAGAGAACACAATAGGGTGACTTACAGAGAACACAATAGGGTGACTATTACAGAGAACACAATAGGGAGACTTACAGAGAATACAATAGGGTGACTATTACAGAGAACACAATAGGGTGACTATTACAGAGAACACCATAGGGTGACTATTACAGATAACACAATAGGGTGACTATTACAGAGAACACCATAGGGTGACTATTCAGAGAACACAATAGGGTGACTATTACAGAGAACACCATAGGGTGACTATGACAGAGAACACAATAGGGTGACTATTACAGAGAACACAATAGGGTGACTATTACAGAGAACACAATAGGGTGACTTACAGAGAACACAATAGGGTGACTATTCAGAGAACACAATAGGGTGACTATTACAGAGAACACATGGTTTGTTTTTCTCCTCAAAGCCTCTACACGTCTCACACCAATATCATTTACAACGCACACACATATATACATCGTATAACTCTCTCCTATTTAAAGATAAGGAGCCATCGCATTTGCACTATTCAACCCGCCTGTTTTTGGAATAAAAGTACAGAGAGGGTCATTATAAACTGGTAGAGTGCATCTATTATTGGGTCGATGCTGTATCAAAATGTCAGAATTAGAAGTGATTTACATTCTACAGCACAACGTGTGCATTGTCTTGATACAGGGTCAGTGTCGGTAATTATTTGAGATGTTGTTTACAGAAAGGCCTCATTCATACCTCACTGTGGGCCTTTTAAAGCAGTGAGGGTATTTTTTTTATATTCACCGTTTTAAATTGATGTTTGATACAGGGTATTGCCGCTTAAATGCCCAAGCTTGCTTGCAGGTCAGCCCTTACACATGCAGAGTGGCTGAGCCATCGTGGGTAAAACTCGATGCCACTTTTGGCTGCAATTGATGATACCGTTACTTCTGCGTAGATTTTTTTGCGGTTGTGCCGTGTATTTCCCCGATGTGTTTCCGGCTTGTGTCGCTTGTACGGCAATGTCAGACGTTTCGCCGCGCGCGCTTGGAGCTTCTGCAGGAGCCGAATCGTTCCTGAAGAAGCTCCCGGCACGCAGAGCGAAACGCCGGACATCGTGCTGAACAATACAGGGGTGCAGCCGGAAAACAACACAACCAGAGGCAACCTGAAACGCAATTGACCCGTACAATCTCCTACGACGATGTGATGTGATTCCGGACATACAGTACCCTGGTGTCTACAAACTAAGTTGCCTCTGTGGTAGTAGTTACATTGGAGAAACCAAACGCCATGTCTCGGA